AAATGTAAATTTATAATAATCATTACTGTGATCATGTTCAAGCAGCAATTGAGCTCCATAGGATCAAACCCTGAATTAAGGTGAAATAAATTCCAGCAGAGGGGAGAAGCTGTTGAAAAATTGTCCTCTCCTGAAAACCACTCCACGTATGGTTCCCCCACACAAACCCAACTCTCCCACTCAAATCAGGATGCACCAAGTCCTGTGCATTAGCATGGATCTTGCGTTTTCTGCCTTTTCTCAATCTCTCTTTCAAACCTTTTACTTTTGCAGCAATTATGGAGCATTGTCTCCTGCAAAATATGCTAGCAGTACAGCATGTTCCACAACATTTAACTCGTTTTCCCTGCTGCCATTCTTGAGCTTCACGGCTTAATGATACAGAGTCAGTAGATCACAATATGACCCTGTTAATATTTTTAATGCCATTTTTACAAATTACACCATAATGCACCGATTACCAGGATGAAAGCAAAATCTCAGCTGCGTCTGTCTGGAGCCCAAATAAAAGAACGTTTGAACATCTGTTCATCCTACAAATGTCTTTAAAAGCTTTGATTTTCCTGTAATCATTTGGTTCCACCATTTCACTCATTTTCTGAATGTGTATCCAACAGCCTCAGGACAGTAGCCAGAGATCAGTGGTAATAGTACATTATAATCAAAGTTCCTGGGTGCACTTCTGTTTTCCTTTCAGAATTAACTAGAAGGGGAGGGGGGGAGCAGTTATTAGCTTTCTGTCCTTTATAAGTAAGTTCATAGCGGCAGGCAAGGTGGAGGGACATACAGAATAACCCTCAGTCAGAGGTTTAATATAGAATTAGAATTTGAGAACACTAGGATATTTTTCAAGCTAAACTGAAGAACATCAGGAGTCTTAGAACTCTTTCTATGGCGTGTGTGTGTGAGAAAGAAAGAGAGCTAAAAGACTTAAGTTCATCTAGATCAGCGGTTCTCAACCTATGGGTCCCCAGATGTTGTTGAACTACAACTCCCATCATCCCTGAGCTCTGGCCTTGCTAGCTAGGGATGATGGGAGTTGTAGTTCAACACCTGGGGACCCACAGGTTGAGAAAGGCTGATCTAGATGCTCTGCCCCTATTCCAGATGTTTGCACAATGGTGCAAAAAGTGGACTCTAAACATGGGCACAGGTACTCCCTTTTTTATTAGAATATATGTTCAAAGGCTAAGCCTTGGCTTCCAATGGTTTTCTAAAGGGCAAAGTCCCACAGTGGATTACAGACTATGGTTGCTTCCAGACAACCTGTTTCTTGGGCATTCAACCTAATTTGTTTGTGGGGAGAGATGAGGTGATGCCGGCTATTTATTGAGCATTCGTTCTGATTTGTTTGTGAAGTTAGGCCATATTGCACCAAGCAAATTTTATCCCACACTTTCCAGTGCATTTTCCTGTCACTTTCCTTATCAAAAAGCATCCAGTTTGGGGAGAAGCAGGTTTGTTGGGCAAGAGCTGCAAGTCAACTCTGATTGCACAACCTGAATCTGCTTGTATGCGATTGAATCCCACCTGAAAATAGTGACCCTCTGGAAGCCACCTACATCTCCTTGACAGGAAAAAAAGAATACGGAGAAATAGAATAAATGTTCAAGAGAGAGATGGTTGGCATTCATTGTCCTATAAATGCCAGCTTTGCTGAACCACAAACTATAGAATGGCAAGAAGAGAATCTATACAGTGGTACCTCGGGTTACAAACACCTTGGGTTACAAACACTTTGGGTTACAGACTCCGCTAGCCCAGAAGTAATACCTTGGGTTAAGAACTTTGCCCCAGGATGAGAACAGAAATAGCGCGGCGGCAGCGGGAGGCTGCATTAGCTAAAGTGGTACCTCAGGTTAAGAACAGTTTCAGGTTAAGAACAGACCTCCGGAACGAATTAAGTTTGTAACCAGAGGTACCACTGTATTAACCATGATTGACCGTGTTTACATTCACAATCACTTCAGTTGCCTTGGGCAAGATAAAGCGACTAACAAATGTAATAAATAATGATAATGATAAGAATTCAGTCGAGCATGTTGTCCTCACTTCTGAGCTCCTGTTTTGTTGTGATTGAGAATCTATGCAAAGCTTCATTCTACATGCTACATTCCGCACAGAAGTTGGGACTACACCACTTCAGAACTGCACATGGAAGAAAGATACTTAAAATCTGCCTGCATATTAAAAACTGATGGAGCAGGAAAAAATTCAAGTCTAGTCTTCTCCCTGACACAGTTTTCGACATGAACTCCTGACCTGGAATTAGCACTTCCTGTGAATCTATATCAAGCCACATCAAAAGAATGGGAATGTCTGGAAGGAGTCAAGGAGGTGGTTGTTTTTTTGGGGGGGAGGGTCCATCTCTAACAGCCTATACTTCTCCCTATTTTTTTGTTCAGCTTTTGTTTTATCATGGGAGGGAGATAAAATAAGGGAAAGAGAATGATTGGCTGGTGAAGTTGGGAAACAAATCAGAACACACACACCCTAGTCTTAATGGGCTGTTTACTTGGTGTTTCATCTGCCAGGACCCTGTTTTGCATAAGACAATGTTGTGGGAAGGTTTGCTTTGATGAAACACCAGGGACCACTAGAGGCATTGCACAGAAAACTGATGCAGGGCACTGACAATGAGTGTAAGCTGAGTGTCAAGGGTTCAAATTCGGCTCATCCATTTATGTGTTAGAAATTTTACTTGTCTCTCCCCAAAAGGTTGATGCATAAAATTCTTTGCTCGCCCACTTTATCCTCAGTTCAACACTGAGGTCAGTTAGACTGAGAGATGGGGGCTGGCTTCAGATTACCCTTTGGGCTTCATGGCTGTGTGGAAATTTGAACCTGGGTCTCGCTGATCCGAGTCCCAAATTGTAAGCTCCCTGGGTGGCTTCAAGCAAGCCATTATTGTCCCAGCCCTTTATATCTGTAAGATGCAGAAAAAGTAACAATTTTGCAATTGTTGAGATATGCAATAATAGTGCAATATAAATACTAGCTACTGTTATTATTAATGAAGACCATGCCATCAAAACATAAAATGGGGGAAAAGACCACAACCACCATGGATCCAGAGGGTTGAGATGGTACTATAACTGTGCATAAGAACTGCACACATCTGTGTTACTATACCGAGACCATCCACAGCAGCATATAGCAAGTATGCTATGAAGGACTCTGACAAGAAGAGAAAGTGCAATTTTTCCTCTACAAAGATAAATTTTTTCCCCTCAGTGGGTCTGGTAGCACAAGTCATACTAAGTAATAACTGAATTCGCCTGCCTAATTCCTCACGGATTATGCTGAAAGCATACCCCATAATCCTAAGGGATGTGCTAAAGCTTTGGCTGGGACTCACTCACTCAGCAGAAATCGCTCAAGATCACTCCACACAGCACTTTACTCAGTTTTGATTTAAAGGAGTACTGACCAAACTAGGTTAGACACCAAATGTGCCATGTTGCAAGGCTATTTAGTAGGAAATGTCCTCAATGTTTATTAGCATTTTTTTTCCTTTTAGAGTTCATCACTACTGCCAAAAATACACCAGAATATGACAAAACAATTGTTTCCCTATTGGAAAGGATCTAAAAGTCAGTAGCAAAAACCCACTGTCCTAATTTTTCAGAAACATAATTGTTTCAGACGTTGTAAATGTATTTACTGCCAAACAAGTTCTATTGATTATTAAGGTCAGAATGCTTAGAATCAGCACTGTGGTGATTAGAAATAATAAAATGGCAAGCAATGGCAATATTAAGCCAGCAGATTTTGACACAAATCATTACGTTGTACTAAGCCTAAGCACATATAACTGAAATATTCTCTCTTACCTCCCTCCATTATCTCCCTGAGTTGAATTTCAGAATGTAAACTTGCCAGGACAGGGGCTGGGTCCTCTCGTATTTTGTAAAATGTCACACAACACATTTAAAGAGCTATATTAAACAACAACAGAAAAATAATTAATTTTCTGAGAAGCAGTGGGTGCTTCCCCCCTCTTTTCTTTCTTTCTTTCTCTGCTGCCGTACTCCACATATGGTTCACTAACATCTCCCAAAAGAATCTACCAAAGAAATGTCTGCCTACAGAGCATTATTTTGTTCCAGTACTAGCTCTTTTTTAAATTGTCCCCCCCCCTATATATTCCCCCCCTATATATTCTATTGGCTTTTCTTTTCCCATAGCAATACAATCAATGAATAAAAACAATAGAATGATAAAGAAGTATTGACAGTGGATGAGAGGTGTTCCAGTGCTAGTTCTAAATGTGCAGTTCCTTTAAACGCTCACTATCAAAAATCTTAACATAGTCAGAGTGGCAACTGACTTTCACAAGACTTGTCACACATCACTCGGAAATTGGTTATGCACATACTTCATCCAAAGCAAAATTGGCTCTGAACTTATAACAAACAACAACTATAACAACAGCAGCAGCAGCAGCAGCAGCAGCAACAACAACAACAACAACAAACAACAACAACAACAACAGCAACAACAACAACGTAAGAACACATTGGCTTGGAACAAATTTGGCCTAAGATATTTACTGAACTTTCTTACAGCTACAGCACTGACACTACACTGACCTGGCAATCCCAATTTGTGACTGAAATTTCAGTATGTTTCACTCATTCTCCACTTCACCGTCAGGATGACCTATCCCTCCCCTGTTGCCAACATACATAGAGGCAGTGCTTTTTTTTCTGGGTGGACGCAGGGTACGCATACCCCTAAACATTTTGTGAATCTTTGTACTTTTGCGCATTTACTGTATTTATTTTTCTTGAGTCAAAATGAGAGTACCCCTAAACATTTTTTTAGAGGGAAAAAAACACTGCATAGCGGTCACACAAAATGTGGGTTTTGTGTCCTATGCTCAAGATTCTGTCTAAATACTTAGGGAGAAAGAGGAGGATGTGGAACCAAATGACTGAGTTAAAAACCTCAAGAGTACAATTTATTCTCTTTATATTTAAATAAAACAACTGCTCACCTCAAGCCACTTAAAATATTTATTCTCGCAATTTGACACTTTGGTAATCACAATTAAGTTGCTTTTGGGGACATGAGCAGCATTCACATTCAGCAAAACTTCTTAAGAGTAGCTCAGAGTTGCTTATTTTCTCAGCTTTCCTAGGAAAACATTAACCAGCAGATTCAGAAAGCTTGTGTAGAAGTATTATACCAAAGCATTAAACAGAAAAGGTTAACAACGTATACCATGAAATTATGTACATCCCTGAGGATGTTCTGACACTGAAGCCAGTTATAAATGGTACTCAAGATACAAACCTCATTTACAAAATAATCCCTGCCTTACAAACAGCGCATTTGGATTATTAAACATAAAAGAATTTAAACATCCAATTTAGTTTCAACATGCACTGTGTTTACATTTTGCCTTTCCATCAAGTCAGGGTGGTGAAATTTCACTTATGGGTTCAATCTACAGACAATCACAAAGCATCATATAAAATACAAATGATACAGAAGTATTTGCATTAGCTGTGAATTAATAGTTTCAACAGGTGCCATCTACCTGCAGCACAGCAGATTGGAACAGCAAAGCCAGAAATATCTAAAGCATCTGTAAGGCCAATAAGAATGGTCTAGAGTCCATGGGAAATGCTTTTTGGTGTTCAGCCTTTAAAGGACACCTCGAATGTTTCTCAAGACTGAATCATTTTCTTCTGTGCATCAAAGACGTATCTTTTAAAGAGAAGAGTGATATGAACAGGCTGGACTGAGTCAACCTTGCTGCTTTCATCCTCTTTTCCTGTATCTCCCTTCCCTGCCTTGGGCTTCTTCTTAGAGGTGGCAGTCAGAAGTGCCTTTGTTTCTGGCCTCACCCCATCTGAAAAGAATAAAGATACGTATTTAAAAAAGGAAAAACCTCTGGGCAAACATTTCAAAATTATTAATGTCAATCTCAAAGTAGTTTGAACGTGAGATCATCCCCGCAGGATTCCAAAGTAGGAACAGCAGTCCAGTAAATCTGGGAGAATTGGCAATTCTATCACCTCATTTCAGATCTTCATTGACTAACAGAATAAATAAATAAATCTCCTCAAAACAGGTCAGCAATGTTGCACATAAAGGTCCATTTATACACTCTAGCCTCTTTCAGAATCACTGTCTTCACCATCTGAAGGCCTAAAACTCACAAACAGCAGATGAGGTGGCAAATCTGGGTTGGGGATGTGATAAAACAAAACTCCTGTTTCCAAATACAAACAAATAAACAAGTCTGGGATGTCAGAGACAAAGCCTAGCCTTCTATCTAAAATACTAGTTTTCCAAGTGTACAAATGTCTTTGGTGAGAGATTACTCCATCAAGTGAGCAGTTTGAAGTGGCAGCATTAGATCTCCTAATATTTTAAAGACAAACAGTTCCATATTTTAATACATTTGATGAAAAGTGAAAGAAAGAAAACTAATACAATTGCCTGCTTCCATTTTAGACTACTGCAGGAAATGGGTACACGGTCAAAATTGGTATACGAGTTATAATTCAGCAAGAAAATACAGTTGCCACCATTTGCCCATAACCACACATGAGCGGGTGAATTTATAACTGTGATTCTGTATATGCCAAAGTGTATCACTACATAATCCAGAGTTTTACCAGAAACATAATATGAATTATTATGCTTGTCATTTTTATACTCTCATTTTAAAGGGAAGAATGTATTTTGTAAGTTTAAACACTTTGCTGGTGAGTAAGTGTTCAGATATTATGAGTAGGAACACAAATACCTGCCCTTCTGAAGTCTTTATTTTAACTTGTCACATTGGAGACTTTTAAAGAGATATACAGGTAGTCTCCTTGTAATCAAAGCAGCAGAGCAAGAGAGAATAAGTGGTGTCCAGGGCCTGCCCTTGAGTCTCAGGTCTTTTATTTCTTGAAGTGGGATAAGAGAACTCTCCTTACAAGCATATTCAGTGCCACCCAGCTGAATATTCCGAAAACGTAGTTCTTGGGCAATGAGCCAATTTCAGCTCAGGTATTTCTAACCTGCAGTGTCACATAACCTTATCTCAAACACTTAATCAGCTTCTCTCCCCTCATACTGAAATTCAGAGACAGATTCTCATATCGTGGCTCGACAAAAAGATTGAGATGCTTATGATTTACTGGAGACAGGACGTCTACAAGCACAGGTGATCTGTTCCACTGCAGACAAACTAAATGGCCATTCACAGCTGATTGTGGCGATTCAGCACCGGAAATATTTTTTGTTTCTTTCTTTCATACTTGTCAGGCAGATATATCCACCATGTGGCAGGTGCAGCATGCTGCAGCGGCCTAAAGGAAGGCAGAAGCTACAGTAGTAAGGCTAGAAGTCCATTAACTTTTCTCTTTTCAGTACTTATGGCCATTTTTCCCCAGACATGGCATGGCAGAAAGCTGCCTCGTGGATTACCTGACTGAAACATAGTCATGTGAACACAATGTCCCACCTGTTAGTATTAATTTATAAATCCTGAAGCAGTTGTTAAGTTATGTGGAAACATGGTTGGAAAGCTTTGAGGGCTGCTCAGCATTGCTTTTTTTAAAAAAAGTATTCACCTGAATGCTGTCCCAAGCTCCTTTGAGGAGAAACAGGATAAACAACAATATCTAAAACTTAAGTTTAAATGTACTAACCACATATCATCTGGATTCATTCACTTGGGAGCTGTGATTGCCAGTGCCTTCTTGTTGAGCCTACAATCAGTATAATGTGTGGAACTGTAAGATAGCAAGCATGGTCTGGAAAGGTACCTCTTTAAAAATTTGTTTTCCAAAATTACAGTATTTCAAGTCAGCTAGGAAGCATAATTTATGTGGACTTCTTCACATGTTACATTTTTAGGTATAGTAAAGGGTAAAGGGACCCCTGACCATTAGGTCCAGTTGTGACCGACTCTGGGGTTGCGGTGCTCATCTCACTTTATTGGCCGAGGGAGCCGGCGTACAGCTTCCGGGTCATGTGGCCAGCATGACTAAGCCGCTTCTGGCAAACCAGAGCAGTGCACGGAAACGCTGTTTACTTTCCTGCCCGAGCGGTACCTATTTATCTACTTGCACTTTTTACGTGCTTTCGAACTGCTAGGTTGGCAGGAGCAGGGACCGAGCAACAGGAGCTCACCCCGTCACGGGGATTCGAACCGCCGACCTTCTGATCGGCAAGTCCTAGGCTCTGTGGTTTAACCCACAGCGCCACCCACGTCCTTCCACAGCGCCACCCGCGTCCCGGGAGATACTTCGAATGATCCCTCATTGAGAAAAGTGGGGGGAAGTCCCGCTGAGAAAGCAGAAGTCCTTTAAAAGTGATTCCGCTGATGGAACTGGTTGAGTGAATCCCACCCACTGAAATCAATGGACCTAATTTAGTCATGTTCATTCATTTTAATGAATCTACTCTGAGTAAAACTTGACTACTATTCATGGCCTATAAAACACAGTTTTTGGAAGCAACCATTAACCAAGTGAACCTAGTATAACTCACAAACTAAATTTGATTCCTTGTTCAATGGTCTGTGTGACTATGCATACTAGGAGCTTGGTCTCTTAACCTGGATGATTAAAAACAGCTTCCCAATGGTGACTAATAATTTAAGCAGTTGTCTGTTTGGAAGAGAAAGAAAAATCAGGAAAAAGAAGCTAGTCCTCACTGTGGAATTGTGTTACCTAACAGTGAATTTATTTGTAATTAGAAGAATAAATTCTTCATAATTCCTAGTTTGTAGAGGTGATGATGTGTTCTTGAATGTCTCCTATTCATTTAAAAAGAGCTCTCTCAGGAGGGGCTTCTATGTGCCAAAACCTTAAGTATTTATAGGCATCCCCCCATACCTGTGTTTACTTGTCTGAGAACTCTGACTGAGTCAGAGTTCTCAAATCCATCCCTGTAGTTATTTAAAAGTATGTATCCACAGAGGTGTGCCATCTACATTAAGTAGAAATACTGGTGTAAAACTGATGCATACTGAACAATAGCTTATGATGTGAAATGTCTGGAGCTGCCCTATGTTGTGCAATACTTTGAAAAATATTTATATACTGCTTTGCCAGGAACTCAAAATAAATTATAGCAATGAAACAGACACAGCTAAACCAATAACATAAAGAAAGCTCACTAATCAAACTTAGACCACCACAGAAGACTTTAATCAACTTAAAAATAAAAATCTTACAGAAAGTTCCTCTTCCACTCCTCCCCAGCTCTGTTGAGAAACAAGCCAGGGTCTTGCTTGTCACCATATCCAAACATGTGCTTATGATTTGTCTAATTGGACATGAACAAACCATGAGCTTGGGCTCAAATATCCCAATAAACTGGACTTTGGCTTTCTTCCTGACAGCATGGCAGAATGGGGTAGAAACAGAATGGACATTTTCCAGCTATGTGCTAAACCATAGTTTGTTTGTTTTAAATTATCGGTTTAATCTGGCATGCAAACCAGACTTTAATCCCTGCTGGAAAGTAGTCCTAGAGGCATGGAATGGCGAGTGTAAAAGTCCTACTGTGGCTAAGCTGCAAAAATAGCAGAGGCAACAAAGCCTGTTGACTTCAATAAGCTCATATGCTCAAGACAGGCCTTAAGGCAGCAAAGCCCCAGGCTATGTGAATCAGAGATTAAAGTAGAGTCTATGGCCTTGATTCTGCATGCTAGTGGAAGACAGTGCAAAGCTCTCACCAGTGCAACAGGGCTCCCCCCACCCTTCTCCTCCATCTCCCCTATTTCTGCTCTGGAGAGTCAGGAGAAATGCTTGCGCTGACAGAACAATAAAAAGAGCTTAACACTGAATTCCTCCCTATGAAACAGATGTAGGACAGGAGGGATAAAAATCTAAACATCCAGTCAACTTTGTTTTACATGAGGAAGAGTGAGCAGAGCAGAAGTGCACAAGGTTGGAAGGGAAGATATCTATTTATTTTTAAAATTTCTATACTGCTTTATATTTTTAATAAAAACTTCAAAATGGTGTACAGCCTATTAAATCAATAAAACAATAGCCAGGCAATGTTTCTCTGGCCACATGAGGAGTCTTTTCAGTAGGGCTAGGTGAGTGTGGGCCCCGCCCCCTGGGCCAGGTGGAAAGGGCCTTGCAGGGAGCGGCCTTCACGCCTCACAGTCTAGTAAAGTAAGCTTCACAAATGTGCTCCACACCATATTATGGAGAAACAGGGTATGTGTGGGGCTGATGGTGGGGTATGTGGGGAAAGAGTACTCCATAGTAAGCTTCCACACCTATTCAGGTAGGCAATTACCTCCAAGGCATTTTAAAGCAGGGGAGGTGGAAGAAACAGGGTAGCTCGCGAGAGCAAGTGAAATCACAGGCTTCCAGCCAAAAGCCGCTCAGGTATTACTGCTAGGTATCTAAATTACTTAATCAGATTCCATGACCCTTATTCTGCAAACAGATTAGGTGGCTGCTGGCATCATACCCTGACAAATGGCATGTGGTAGTTTCCCCCCACTCTGGTGCCAGGAGGTCTATGGGCTGAAGAGGCTCTGTGACACCGAGCAGCACAAAGAGGGAAGCTCAAGCAGACAGGCGGGGAGGTACAATCTAGGTTTCATCTACCTTGCTGGATTTCTCACATTACACACAATGCATACTTTACATTTTACAAGACCAAGGAAATGAAGGAAAATATATCCTTCACCGAAGAAGACATCAGCCCCTTAATAGCTGAAATGACGGATATTTTTAGATTGAGGTCTAGTTTAACTTACTTACATTAAGGGTCTTAATCTCTTCTGAACAATGACTATGTAAGCTTGAATACATAGTGAGAAATCTGTTCCATTAATTAAGTGCTGCCTGTACTACTTCGATTTGTAGCAAATGTTAATAGATTTCTCTCCCTTCCTCTCTTGGACAATTACTTTATTTTGCCAACTTGCTAATGGCTTAAATTGAAAAGGTCCATGTGAGAAAGAAAGAAAAAAAGAAGAAAGAAAGAGAATTTAGCTGCAAAGTTCTACCAGGCAACTAGCCCACATTGCTCGGAAATACCTACATATACTATATTATTAATGGGCATGGTAGATAGCAGGAAGCTTAGCAAATTCTTCCCCACCCAGTTTGCCTCAAAATGCATAAGGTGATTTCGGTTCTATTGGCATATATATATTATACAGCAGACTAACCTGTACAGCGTTAGCAATATAACACCATAGCTCTTAACCTATCACCACACTTGAGTAGCTTCTGCTTGCTTCTGCTTCACTGCTTTCCCTCAAGGTGGTGGTGCCTAAGCTTTGCACCAACATGAACCACATCACAGCTCTGAGCTGCAGGTTGTAACAGCAGACACACAACTCCCGCATCATGTCCTTGTGTGCTCCTTTCTAGGAGTAATTCTTATGCACATCACTCACAATTGTAATGCTCCTCTTGCTTCCTGCCATGTTGAAAAAAGAGAGGCAACATGGCCGGCTTCTTTATGGCAAATGCCATTTTTGCTCTGAAGGTGGGAGGAAGGAGCCACCCTACTCCTAGGATCCTGGTTAGTATATATTTCACAGCCTATTAAGGTGTTATCTTTGCAGCTTTAAATGTGAAATAGAAACCCGTGGTGCTGGAGGAATTCTAAGCTAGGGCAGGCAATGCCAAAGTGGGGCCCCACAGATACTACTGGACTCCAACTACCATCAGCTTCAAGCCAGTGGTCAGCACTGATGGGAGCCATAGTCTGTACCCATATGGAGGGCACCAAGTTGGCCATTCATGATACAGGGGGAGAAGTTTCATCACTGCTCTTCAAGTTGCACAACACTTTCCTAAAATACAGCTTTGGTTCCTTTAAACTCTTTTCTGAAAATAAATTGTAGCCCAGATTTTTATAATTGCAATGCAAATTTTCATCTTCAGCACGAGTGTGCAACTGAATATAAACATATGCAACCAAAGTATTTGGTATTCAAATTACACACAACAAACATAGGCTTTTATTTCTTCAGGGAATCAACTGCAAAAAAATGGCAGAGGTTGTTTTTAATAATTCTTCTCTTCCATCATCTAGCGCTTGATATTTTGTATCTCCCTAATCAGGACTAGCCAGAAGAAACCCAAGGGCTACTAAAATGGGCCTCTAAATTCCCTTGATGCTTTACTGGATGGGGTCATTTTGTCCCTAATTCAGCATCTGCCTACGAGGGTCATATATATGATTTGCCTAGGCAAAACAGTTTTATTACCTCCAAACCTTCTCATGGTAATGTTCTGTATTCATGAATTAACTAGACAATGCTGAAAAGGGGGAGAAATTGAACCCCACTTTTCTGCTGTCATAAAGAACTGGCAAACTCTTATTTCCATTCACAGAACAAACCCTGAAAGGGTATAATCAGAGGTCAGTGGCTCCCATATCTAGGTTAACATTTATTCTGTTCCACCTATTAGGTTGTAATTTTTATTTGGAGACTAAGCACCATTTGATTCTCTTTCTGCAGACAGCATTCATTATATCTCTCATTACTTCATTTTATACATAAAAATACTTTTCTCCACTTCCATCCTGATTAAGCTTCAGGGGCCTGAATCACACAATACAGTAAGCCAAACCTTGGCTTACTTCAGAACAAAAATTATTAGGGAGCAGCAAAGTGGCTGCAAACTCCTATCCAGGAGCCCCCATATTTTGCTTGGAATCCTTAAACTTGGTTACTGAACATATTGGGAGTGGTTCTCTAGAGAAATGAAAGTTCATTGGGGAAGAGGAACTACACTG